GTGGCCTTCCCCGTCAGCTACCACGTGCTTTGCGGAGCTCGCCACAGCCTCTGGACGTACAAGCCTGAGCTCATCAACAATGCGGATGGACCCACCAGCAGCTACGCTATCTTCGCCGCCTCGGCCCTCATCACTCTGGGTGCTGCTGCCTACACGATCAAGGCGCCTGAGGAGAAGAAGGCCGACCAGTAATTTGCCCACCTTAGTGTCTTTGTAGTTGTTCGCACGCCTACGAACGGAGTGAACGATCACCCCGCTAATCGCTCTGGGCAACTGGTTGAAAACTGGCCGACGACGCGCTTGTGCTGCAGGGAAGAGGGTTTGGCGGGAGAATTGGCGTTGTCATCGTGGACGGTGGTGGACTGCAGACTTGATGCTCTAGTGAGAAAAAAGAACACGATAAAAATGAAATCAATCTAAGACCAAATGTCGCTGTGCTCCATTTGTTGCTGCGTGCAGGTTTGGATCATGCCGTCAACGGCCAGCTTCGTGGCTTCACCTCCATATGGGGAGCATTGATTCGAGACATCATATTAACGTGTGTGTGATGACGCATGCCGCCGAGCTAAATGGCCTGCTCTTCCAGGTCGTGGCCGTCAAGCTCAGCGCCCCGTTGATGAACTATCAGCGATTCTACGGTAATTGTAGCCTGGTTGCTCAACAACCCGCACCCACCGACGCGAGTGTTAAGCGTCAGCGTCAGCGTCAGCCTGACTATTGCTCGCTGACTGAAGCTGAAGCACGCCATGCCAACTTGGCATTGCCAAGTGGTGAGTTGACAGCACACAGGTGCTTCTGTCCAACATGTAGCGGTCACGTTGTGATCGCCACTGTCGATTCGTCAGGCTTCACACCATGCAAATCTCAGCGTGGCGACAGAAAATCAAGCCCCGCACTCGCACTGTGCGAGTCGCACAAGTCCAGGAAGAAAAGATGGCTACAGTGCCGAGTTGAAGTGCTTTCCACAACGACGGTCATGCGCACGCATTGCGTGACTGGAAGTCCACCACATCAAAAAAAAGTGGCTGCGAAAGAAAGCACGTGCTTTCTGAGCTTAAGCTTCCGGTATAAAACCGGTAAGCTACTAAAAGTATCCGCTGGATTTTAAGGGACTGTTTAGGACATTGGCCCCTCTACAGTAGGTCAGTAGTAGACCGCCAAGCAAGCTTCGACATGACTCACCCGAAGCGGTCTGCGCGTGCGCATGACTATTGGCTAAGCTCCACGCAATCGACGTCTCAAGATCGGCCGTGCAAGCTGGTCCCATCGAGTCGTACACGTATGGACATGGTTTTGGAACGGCAACAACACCGAAACTCAGCATCAAAGAAGATGACGCTCGAAAAATTGTCAAAAAGGGTGCAGAGGACGCAGGTGCGATGGTCGGGACCGCTTTGCTGACACCTCGTCATTTCCCAACTTAACGTTGACCCCACAAGTCACCGCCAAGACCCGACCGAGACAGCATGTCGACTTCCGTGTACCAATTCGTCTCCACAATGACCCCGTGCTTCGCGTCGGAAGTATTGAAGCCAATGACGCTCTCATCATCTTCCACCTCAAGCAAGCCATTCGCGCCCTTCTTGACTTTTCAGTGCGGTGAATGTCCGCGACAATTCTCGCGTCGCTATGCGTTGCAGGAGCATCTAGCTACGCACACGGGCGAGAAGGCTTACCGGTGCCCTGCACATGGCTGTGGCAAGCGCTTCACCACAACCAGCAATCTAGCGCGTCACCGCCGCATGCACGGTGACGAGCTGCAGCCACTTGCGTGTTTCTCGCCCGGGTGCACCAAGACGTTCACCACACAGCACAAACTGCAGCGCCACATGCGCGTGCACACGGGCACTCCCATGCGATGTTGCAAGTTTGCCAATTGCTCCAAGACCTTTAGCTCGACCGGCAACTTGAATCGCCACATGCGCAACCAGCACATCCGCTTTGGACATCCGCTGACCAGCGAGGCTACGAAGGAGGAGCAGTCGCCGACGAGCGTGGACATTGACCCTGTCAATGTGTTTGCTTGGGGCAGCAACAGTCCTACAAGTATTGCTATGCAGATCACCCCCATCGGAGAGGACTTGCAACTTGATACCAATAGCGATCACCATGTCTCCGACGAGGAGCTGCTGGAAGTTCTCTCGTTTCTGCTAGAGGATGACGAGCCCCAGGACAAAAAGGAAGATGCCACGGACCTAGCGACGGCCACGACAGCAGTGTCAGCCAGCTAGTTGCAGGATGGTATTGTACAGGGAATACCAAAGTACTTTTAGTAATTTGACCCACTGGGCCTATCTTTGGCTGTTTCTGAAAAGCTGAACCGACCGGGAGCGACTGTAAATGTGCAAGAAGAAGTGATACAGAAATCAAGTAAAATGAAGGAATCGTTCATGATCAGGCCGTGTGGCTTGTGATTTCGCTAAAAATGGCAATTTCAATAAATCTGCCTAATTTTAGCAGCTCAGACAACGACGGTGAAATTCGCCACCCTCTGAACGCCATCCTCCATAGTAGTTCTTTTTTTGTTTTCGCGACAGGAAAATCCGTCGCACATTTTTATTGGTAGATAAAACGAATTAATTAGCAAAAAGCAAAGTTGAAAACCTCAACGTCTAGTGGCTGGCAGGCCGCTGTACTGTTGGGCGGTAGCTGGCAAACCAGGGCCGACGTTGTCTCGACAACAACATCAAGTCCTTCTTTTGAAACATGTGCGTCGAAGTTATCGAGTATAAGCACTGATAGTGCCTCGATCTCGAACTTGAGCAGCTCTCGTACATATATCGCCACACTTTGGCATCCATAAAACTGCTCTCCTGCACTGAGTATACATGACCAACCGGATGTGTTAGTAGCTCCACGAATATCACACTATTTAATAAAGCAATTATATAAAATCAGCAAGATCAAAAGATATTACCGTGCTGCAAACCGCTGACATAGTATCATAAACGCACTTAGACCCTTCTCATCGCTTTTCTTACCAGCAAGATACGTTTGAAGCCATCGCGTTTGCTGCTCTTTGAAATATTGAATAAGTAAATCTGTACAAATACTAAGTAACAAGCGGTTTTAGGTCACAATGTAGAAATAAATTAATAAGAAGACGGTTTACCCATTCTTCTCGTCGCACATCCTTCATAAAGGTTACCAAATCGTGAGAGAAGTGTATTAACGGCGCTGCACTCTGGCCCTTCAAGGTTTTGCTGGTTTGGGCACCCGCAAAGTCTTGGATGAGGCGCCATTTCCAGAGTGATAGAAATTCTAACTATATGTGTTATGCTACCCGTAGGAACCAGTCGATTCAATTTACTCTATCATTGGTTAAAATAAAAACTTGTTCAAATCTTTTATTTTGAACTTCAAGTGTTCGGAAGAGACTGAAAAACACGGAGCCGCACGATCATCGGCGGAGTCTTCTCGCGTGCGCCCTCCTGGTTCCACCGAGCTTGCCGGGCGACACCACTTCGGGCGCCACCAGTCAGTCAAGCTCGGCTGCTCCAGTGAGTCTTGGCCCCCTCATGGCCCGGGTTAACGAGCAGGGGTACGAGCGCCGAGAAGAATTGATCTTCTTGGCGAGGCTCGTGGCCTACGGTTTTACTCGTTCCGTGGAGCCTTCCGATCCCCCGCAGCGGCGAGCGATCTTGCATGCTGCTTCCGCGGGGGAACTATAGGTTATCTTGAAAGGCAACTACGCCGCTTTTGATTATCCCCAGATCATTGGCGATCTCCGAGCCGACAATCAAGCTGTTCAGGAGGAGAACCGCGCACTGACTCGGCGACTGGACTCTCTTGCTCTCAGCAACGTCGACTTGTCCAATCAGCTCTCATCGGCGCGACAGCAGGTGTCCCGATTGGAGGCTGCTGCCACGCAGTCTGCTAATCTCCTTGCTTCGCTGCAAAAGGCTGTAGCTCTGAGTGAAGCAAAACTTGCTCGGGTTATCGCAGCTAAGCAGAGCAAGGTTGACGCTGCGCTGGGTCAGGCCCAGCTCCATCATCAGCAAGTCTTGGATCGAGACGCCGAGATCGACGTCCTTCTCCGATCCATTTCCGAGAGGGGTGCGGCGTTCGTCACTCTTCAAGGCATCGCTTCCAAGCATTTCGAGCAGCTGCAGGAATCGGTGCGGTTGTACAGCTCCACCGGCACTCAGCCTTTGCGGCACGCTCAGTCGGTGATCGCTGAGCAGCGGGCTGTGATCTTGCGGCAGAAGCGGCCCATCCGTCGGAATGGCTTTATTCCGATGCACGACCCTCACATGGCTGCTGCTGTTGGCGGTGGTTTGAAGGTTCCTGGACTTGATCCGTCCGACCTTCTCCTTAACGCCCGGCTGTGTCGTGTCTTGGAGTCTCGCTTCCCCGAGGTCCTTCACATTCCAGCCGGTGAAACTCGGCGGTTGGAGTTGATTGTCCATCCTCGTCGAGATGCTCCAGTGGCGAGTTCCGCTGTTGGTCCTAGTGTGGCTCCCCCAGCTAGTCAGACTTCTTCTGTGACTTCATCGGCAGACTCGGCTGCGGCTCCTGTCAGCTCAGCGGCGGCTACGAGCCAACCCGAGCCGACCCTCGCCCAGCTTCACCGTACTCCTTTGGCGAACTTGACTTCGACCCAGCGGCTTCGACGTTATGCCAACCCCAAGTCTCCCACTGCTGCAGGTCCTCGTCCTCGTCCACCGGTGCCGCATCCGCCTCAGCCGTACGCTTGCCCACTTCCCGGGGAGGATGGGCACGAGGCTATCAGTGCCATTTTGCGCTCAAGTTCTCCTCAAGCTACTGTGTCCGATGGGGGAAGGCCCCGCTCTGGAAAATTCCGTCGTCGGACTCGGCGGAAGAAGGTTCGCCACCTTCAGTTGAGCTCTGCTACACAGCCCGCTGTCTCTGCTCGCTCTGAAGACGATGATGACGCTTCGAGCGAAGCTGAATTCGAGTTTGAGCTGCCTGCGCCGCCCGCCGACACCGTTCCTGCGATTGATTCGACGACTTCGGTGGGTTCTTCGTCTTCCGGTCCTCTGTCGACTTCGTCAGTCGCGGCTACTCACCCCCTGCCGGTATCTTCTTCCGATGTCGTGGCTTCGCTGCCTATCCCGGCTACAAGCGGTTGTGCCCCAGGCTCGACTTCGCCCATCTCCGCTGGGTTGCCCCAGTCAAGTGCACCGCTCAGCGTCGTATCAACGGTGGTTGGGCGCTCCCAGTCGTCATCTGGCCGATCCTCTCACGTCTCTCCGTCTCGGGGTCTGAGCGTATCCACTACGCCGACTGACCTAGTGACTACGGCCGTGAGTGTCCTCAGACCGTCTCTTCCTGCGAGCTCAGCCGTGTTGACGTCCCCGTCTGGGCGCCCCATCCGGAGATCTGCTGCGACCGCCCGCACTGTGACTGCTCAGCTGCTTGAGGACCTTGACGCGTCTGACGACGAGGTTTTAGGGGCCTGGCGACGGTTCTGCACTGTCCACCGGCTCGACGAATCCTGCCGCTGGGTCGCTCTTGGATCCAATTTCTTTATCCGAGAACTCGGCTGGCAGTCCTTCAGGTTCCGACTCAGCGGCCGAAGATGCTCGTCGTTCTGCTAAAGCGAGAAGCCTTCATGCGGCAATCTTTGGCTCTGACGATGAGATGAGTGATGAGTCCTTGCCGCCGAGTAATCGCCACTCCTCGCGGCATTCATCGAAGGATTCTGGTGATGAGACGAGTTCTACGTCTGCGTCGGCTTCGGGGAAGCAGCAGCGTTGCAAGCGTCGTGCCTCGTCGGGTCCTACCGGTCACCGGTCGAAGCGGTCCAAGAAGCACAAGAAACATAAGAAGCATCACAAGACGCACCAGCACCAGAAGCATCGGCAGCCTCCGTCAACTCCTGATCCGGCTCCTGCTCAATCCATTCCGGCTGCTCCTTCGCCAAGTATGCTCCCGGTAGTGTCGATTCTTCCTCAGCCGAGTTCGACTGCATCACGTCCGGCTTTGGTAACACTACCCAGCGCTCTTACACTCCTGCTGGCGACGTTACGGACCCGAGCCTTGCAAGCGGTTTCCAAGGATTGTCGCTTGACTCTTCACATGGCTCAACTCCGCGAGGTGCCATTTACGCATTTCGGCTCAGCTCGTTGTTGGAATGCGTTATTGGATACACTGAGCGGAGGGGTGCAGATGGAGCTCGTAGGAGACAAGAGTCGTGTGCCACCTACGCCGTGTTCTCTTGACGGCATTCGAGCTTTCATGGCCGTTTTCGATCCGAGCCATCCTTGTCAGCGTCTTCGGCGGATGCTCCCTGAGCTTCCTTTCTTCTTTTCTCCGTCGATACTGGAGGAATCTCGGCGGTGTTTGGCTTCCCAGACCCGACCTCGAACTTTGACGCAAGTTCTTGGAGATATGTAGGTGAAGCTTCAAGGCGACAGTCCTTTGGACTCGGCGGGGATGCCCATCCAGACAGATGGCCAAATGACCCGTTATTTTGTAGCTCTCTATGAGCGTCGTCATTGGATCGTCGAGTCAAGTGTGTTGATGGGTCTCCATCCTGACGTCAACCCGGCTGCCACGCCCGCTCAGCTTGCTGAGGTGTATAAGCTGTGGCTGGTGTACAAGCGCGAGCGCAAACGTCGTAGTGATACCCTACGATCCTTGGTTGTCGCTGTCTACGACCAGCTTTACTCGGCGGTCACTTAGAAGCTCGGCGATGAACCTGCTCCTCTTGTGAACGCTGAGGTTTATTTCGATCCGTCCGTCCCCCATTGCTCTCCCGTTAACCTTTCGTGGGTTCCATCCGGGAGAGACTGGGTTCAATGTGCTCACGACGTGGATCTAGCCGAGCCCTGGCGAGCTTGGTGGCTAACTGACCCGGCGGTTCACCCGTACAACACATGCTTCCGCGCTCGGAACGTGGACTTCTTGTTTTGCTCCGCGCGATATGAATCCTCAGGTTGTTGACGACGCGATTGAAGAAGACTTCGATCTTGCCGAACAAGCGCCTCCTGCATACGCTCAGGGTGCTCCACCGCGGCTGAATCGTCAAGGTATCCACATCTTCGCTGGGTCTTCAATCGGTGAGCTCGGCTCGGATGACGAGAGTGCGTCTGATGACGACTCAACGGACGACGGGCTGGGTTATCCGAGTTTGTCTCTGTTCGGCACTCCACTCCCCAGTAGAACGGATCCGCCTCAACCCACTTCAGCCGAGTCGGGTTCTGAGGCACCGGCTCTTCTTCCAGCTGGTTCGGCGTCAGTCTCGTTGGCTAGCTCGGCGATGATACTTCTTGCCACGGCTGCGGATGCTGCATCTCCTTCCGCAGTTTTCCAAGGGGCGACGTCTGCTACGACGCCACACCTCCAATCGTCGAGTCCGCCGAGCTCTTCCCAGTTGTCTCCGTCGGGTTCAACTCACTTGTAGTCCGGATCGCCAACTTTTTAATTTTCTTCTTTTGAC